GAGACATCCCGCAGCCGCATCCCCCGCCTGGTCCTCCGGCCGCAGCAGAAGGTATCCCCCGCTTCCGAGTCGCCCTTTTCGGAAGAAGAGAGCCGAGAATTTAACCCCCTCAGTTCCCCCGGGGGCTCCGGCCGGACCGTCAGTAGCAACAGCTTTTGCTCAGGTACTGCAGAAACCCTACTCCCGCCCCCCCCTCCTCCCCCAGCCCTCCCTCGGGTCAGTCCTCACCCTGGGTGTCACCCAAACGTCACCCACATCCCTGCATCGTGCTGCCCTTTTCGGAAGAAGAGAGCCGAGAATTTAACCCCCTCAGTTCCCCCGGGGGCTCCGGCCGGACCGTCAGTAGCAACAGCTTTTGCTCAGGTACTGCAGAAACCCTACTCCCGCCCCCCCCTCCTCCCCCAGCCCTCCCTCGGGTCAGTCCTCACCCTGGGTGTCACCCAAACGTCACCCACATCCCTGCATCGTGCTCGTATCGAGCCCTGCCGAAGCATCCTGCTTTGCGGGTGAAGAAGGGCAACCATTCATTTTTCCAGGGAAATCCAGTATCTGTTCTTTTAATACATGTCCCTAAGCGACACCAGATGTTGCCATTTCGAGTTCTGCTATCTGCAGCGGAAAAGTTGGCGGTTTTACTGCGGCAGCTTTAAAAGTAAAGATTTGCCTTAAAACTGCAGCGTTGGTCTGAGGCATTTGTAAAGCCTGTAAGCCAAAGAGTCTGTAAGGCAGGGGAGGTGCTATTAAGGGCCTCAGACATTGGTCAAATACTGCAATTTCTTGTAGTTTTTTGGGACAGTGATCTCCATGCATGAACCAGGACCAAATGTCAGTGAAATTTTCACCATCGTATTTAAGTGAGTTTTGTTTATCAGAGAATTCAGACTACCCCTGACAAGTGTGTCTCCAGGCGTGAATTAGGCATGATGTCTTCTCTATAGAGAGGGCGATGGCTAGCTGATACACCAGGAGTAAATTCCCACTCTCCAGCTGAAGACCACAAAAACGTCATTTGCTCTTCAAAATTAGTATATCCCTTTATGTCAGGGACAACTTGAAACCGGATTTTTTTTGTAAAATATTTGTCCTGTGTAGAGTTTAGCACAATTTAAGTCCCTCAACTAGTAGTGAATTACTCAGATACCTACTACTGGTGAGTAATCCTTTAATTCAGTGATACTCTCCAACAGGTATGACACCATGCACGTGTATAACAGCATTGAGAGTCACATCGTGGAGTCCTTGGGCTCTAGATGTGTGTGGTAATTGTAAAGATATTTCAGTGACTAAAAATTTTTTAATAGTATTTTGGAGAGCATAACATTCTCCATCTAACTAAACATGTAATTTATAATTAATATTTTTGTAATAGTTAAAATCAGAGCAAGTTTCTGAACTTCCTTTTTGCTTTTTCATAAAATATTTGCATTACCAATGGTTTATCTGAGAACAGCCAGAAACACTTATATTTATCTTTGTCTTCACTACAGTGGATCAGTTTAATTTTTTTCTTTATTCCTCTAACAAAAAGCAGTGTATTGAACACTGTGTACAAGAACAGTCAATTTTCCTAAATGCGGAACACAATATCCATGTTTGAGACTACCATTTCCTTCTTAGCTTGGATAGATTTTGCAATTCAGGCTCAGTGGAATGTTCTATTTGGTTATTGTTTAATGAACAATGCAGAATGTTAAACAAACAACATAGGTTGTAAGAATGCTGAGGTCTCTTTTCCCATGCCTTCTGAATCCCTCTACCTTACCTGTTTGAGCTCGCCTGTTGCCTCATAAGAAACAAAGAAAGAAAATCTTTTGAAGCTTTCTAGAAATACATTATTTTTATGATCTCTCCCAAATGGCTGCTTTTTATCCTGATTTTTTTTTTCCCCTGTATGTTGAGAAGCCTTTCATCCTGGTTCCTGACAACCTCTTTTATGATATCTTTTGGATTTGTATCATGTTCTTTAGATCTTCTCAACACAGAGCTGCCAAAGTAATACCCTTGGTGTCTGTCCTAGTGCACTCTCTGGGCTGTGTCTTGATTCCCAGCAGAGCTATGTGTTTACTCTGGGTGTGTCTGATCTCATGGCTCTGCAGTTTTAAGGCGCCTTTCTCAGAGGTATTCAAGAGTGCAATGCTTGTCTCTTAACCTGCCTCTTCAGTACAACTGTGCATATTTTTATTTCCTTTATTAATCTTTTATTATTTTATGAATGCTGGGTTGATTTAGTTTGATTTTTTTCCCCCATGAGATATTTGTGCATCCTCAAGCTGTCTGCAGCACCCATCCAGGTGTGCACTACCCACTTTGACTGCTGAGGGTCTTCAAACCTCATGCAGCCAAGGATCAGCCAAGACACTGTTCTCCAGCCCAGTGCGTGGCTTTGTTGTTGATAGGTTTGATGGCTTTTTCACAGTGATGCAGGTATGACAACAGTCACCGACTTGATTTCCTCATTCTCTGATGTCTCTTCCCTGTCTTCCACTTAAAATCCTTCCTTATTATGGTACATCTCATTTAGACGGCAATTCCCAGGTGGCAGCTCGTGGCTACTGGTTCCTGTTTCTAGGGAGGGGATGGCAAAGAGCTGTGTGGAGAGGTGAGCAGAGGGACCGCAGCCTCTCCTGGGGCCTGGCTAGGCAGTTACTGTCTTAACGGAGAAGTGGCATGCGTAAGAAGGGTATTTAAAATTAGCAAGTAATATATTTGGAAGAGGTGAGCAGATAAATAATGTAATGAATGATAGTGTGATGGTAGTATGAAAAAAACTCGTGAGCATTTGGATAAATGCCTGCATTGTAACTTCTTTGCAGCGTTAAAATCCAAAAGCTTCTTGATAAGCAGCAATGTGCATAATTCCTTTCCTCTTTACCATTGTCTAGACAAGTTGTTCACTACCTTTCTTCCTTTATTTCTGACACCAAGTGGTTATAATCGATAAATTTCTTTTTCCCCAGTAGAAATTATTTTTTTCTCTCCTCAACCATGTAAATATGTATTTCCTGCTTGATTCCTTAGAGCTTCTGAGGTTGTCCATTTTCCCTGGTTGCTTACATTAGTCCCACTGCCAAAGCAAAGGCTTGGAGTTCTTTCTCTCTAGATGAGGGCAGCAGAATCTTCTAGGTATCATTAATGTTGATTTAGATGGGGGAACCTTTGGGGACCATAGAAGTGCTGCAAGCATGATGCCAACAGCAAAAAATACCTCCTGGGAACAGATAAGAGACGTTTTGTTTTAATGCTTGGTTTCTTTTGAAGAAGGTATTAGTTCTGACTGAGATAAGTTTTAAATTTGTGTGATCTGCTCACTCTTGATCTTGTGTGACTAGATCAGAGACTCAGTTGATCATGTTGGTCAATTATTTGCAATTGACTTTCGGTCAGTTTTGTTTTGTAAGGCCCTATGAAACACGGTGAGACCACAAATCTGTTTTATCTGTGCTATTCCTGACAAAATGTGTTTTTAATATTCTTCTGCCAAGTGAACACAGGTACTCTCTGGATGTTGTGTAGCCAAGCTGAGCCTTTGTATCCGTATTCACTGTGCACAGTCTTTCCTTAAAATCTTAGCACATCTGGACTCCTGTTTGTCATTTGATACGGGAGCCACTTGTCCTTCAGCTGCTGCCCTGCTTGGCTTGGATGTTGGCCACAGGACTCGTATAAGGTCAAATGATGAAAAAACGCTCTCCCAGCAGCTCCATCTGGCTCGGCTGCTACTGAACACTCGCCCATCTCATGCAAGTTTTCCTCCTAAGTTGTACTTGGCTTGGGAGCGGCTGTGTACGCTTACCTTGTCAGTCGGGAGGGGAGATTTTAAACATCGCTACAAATTGTCTGCCCAGCAGCTGCTGGACTGCCTTGGGTTGTCCAGTTACAGCGTTTGCCTTATAAGAAATAAGATACTTGGGGCAGGGCATTATCCTTGATTTTTGTGTGCACATCCTTTTGATACCAAGCCAGTTGCATATTGGATCAAAGGCAGCCTGGACATGCTCAGGTACTGTTTAGCTTTTCATTTTAAATGGACGTTAATTTGGAATACACTTTTTTCTGGTTTCTGCCTCTGAATATCTCAGCTTTTAAATTTCTCCTTGTGAAGAAGATTTGTTACATGCTGCCTTCATAGCAACACCCAAGCTTTCCTTCAGCCTTTCTTCAGAGCCAGCTGCCTGAATTTCCGCAAATAACGCAACAGCGCTTTGTTGACTGAGATGCAGCTTTGCAGGAAGCACGCACCTTTAATAATCAGCGCAGCAAAAGACTTTGTTTTATTCCCACAGCGAATGGCTCCTCTTTTCTTGGGCTTACCTGAAAATCGTCTTTTTAACTAGACTGTGTAGTACTACGAGCCATTGAAAAACTGTGGTGTCTATGAATAATTGTGACTCACTCCAATGAAGTTTTCAAAAAAAGGAGCTGAAGTTTCTTTTTTGCATTTTTTTCAAATGTCAGGGTCTGGTTTCTATGCTTATAACATGACTTTTTCTTTTCTGGTCTAAAGATTTTTTAAAAAATCTTGTTCTTTACATGTGTGGCACAATAAATATTCTCCAGTGCCGCAGCTGCACTGTACACCCTTGGTGTTGCCCTTCTCTGCCCACTTGCTCTTGTGCAAGGTCTCCTTGAACCTGGGGATTATTCACCAACTGGCCCAGCTGCTGATGGATTCTGGGGCTGAGTTCAGTGTGTATGTCAAAAAAAAAAAAGCATGTAGGCTTTAGGCAGGCTTAGTTAAGTTGATGTGAATGTGCTACCCATATTGCTAGACCTAAACCAGAGGAGAATGTAATTTGCACAGATGTTACTGGATGAAATGCTGTACCTTCTCACACCTGGTAAATAATATATTTTCTAGAGCATTGAAATAGGTTGTATTGTACACCAGCTAGCCTGGAGGCTACACTATTAAAATGTGTGTACCTAAATATATATTCTGAATAGAAAAAGGTAGAGGAAAACAGATATGCAGTATTTTAATAAGTCAACAGATTGAGGCTAGAGACTTGTTATGAATTACTGAAAATAATTACCACTATTCTTTGTGTGTGTGTATGTATGTATTATTATGGAAACAGTGAACTCTCCCATTCTTCTTGTTTCTTGTTATAAGAAGACCTATTTTGCTTAAATAGTTCCTGACTGGTTTATTTGTGGTTTTTT